ATGCTAGTTGTTAAAGCAGATGTTGCTAAGAATATGAAGTTTAATGACAAAATACAAGCTAAAACGGGGCAGTAATCAAACCGAGGGGCTTGCTGCCCTGGCTTCGGACTGGTCGATGGAGGACCTCGAGGTCGATATCCAGCTCGATCTCGAGCTATCAGGGGTAGTCGGGAATAGGATAACAGTTAAGATATGATTAAACAAGGCTCTTTATGGCCAATACCGAGCAATAAATGAAGAACAAGTATGAAAACTATAGACGCTAAGAGTGGTCTCGAGCCAATAAGAACGAGGAAGTTAGAGAGAAAAGAGAAAGAGAGATATTATTGATCTTGTGGAGAAATAGTTGGAGCAACATCCGCCCCTTACAAAGTAGTGTGGGTTCCCTTTATATAGGAAGGGAACCCGGCTATAGTACAACATGTATTAATTGTAAAGCATGGAGATGGGACGGCGAGATGCGACGCTTCGGCATAGGCTCTGGATAGGCCGGCTTTGTCAGATTTTAGCTATGTGCCTTGGGAGCTTCCCCTTCTGCTGTAGCCTCGACCTCCTTCTTCTTCGAGTCTGGCCCCAATGATTCCCGAGGAAGGGAACTCGGTCGCGGCTCCACGTCTTTGGGGTCTCGAAGCATTCTTCTGAAGTGGCTTGATAGCGAGGAATTATGTCCCCTAATTTCGCCGCATACATTCTTTCTTGAAACTAAGGTTCCAAAGTATTTGAGTCTTCACTTTCCGCTAAATTAGGATGAAAATTGCAGCTTAATAGTTAAAAATATAATTGTACCAAAGGTACTTGTTTCATAGTTCTTTCTCTTTTTGTGGTAAGCTCATTTATCGTGAGAAATTCAAAAATAGCCAAATTTATAAGCAGTCATTCAAAAATAGCCATAATTTCAAAAATAATCGAATTTTAGTCACTTTTTATGTAAAGATAAATTTGACCGAAAACACTGTTCAAAATCCAGAAAATACTGAAATTCCAGTATACAACTCCAGTATATATTATACTGGAGTTCCAGCAAAGTATACTGGAACTCCAGTATATTATATTGGAGTCAGTAAAGTATACCGATCCAGCATAATATGCTAGAAATTCATATACATGTGCACGAAACTCTAATATATTATGATGGATCGATTTTTGTTGCAGTAAAACAGTAAATATTTTTCAATGACTTGGCAAATGTTTGCTATTATTGAATGACCAGTCCAAAAATTGGTTAGCCCGTACTATTTTAACTGGTTTCTTCTCTCTCTTCTCGTTTCATATCCAAGGATCGAACATTCTCCTCAGATGAAATGCTAAAATTTATAAATTAATATGAATTCAAAAAAAAATAAAAACCGACAACAACGTCGTGCAAAGCTGGAAATCCAAACTTTGAGAATCTTGAAGATAGTAGAGAATCTATAGGATAATCTCCTTTGTGAGCCGGGTTTGTGTATCACATGGCAAAATATTAAAAAAGTAGAGGGTGTTTGATTAATCCTATAAGTTTGTCAAATTAGTTTATAAGCACTTTTTAGCTTATCTATGAATTTGGTAAACACCTAAAGTGTTTATAAGCACTAAAATCAATCATAAACTGGTCATCCCGCCTTTTCAGCTTATATGCATTTTTAGTTTGACCAAAACTTTTACTAGTTTTTCCTTAATAATATTTTGTAATTCACAAAATAGTACTTTTTCCAAAATAAATTTTCCAATTTTCTCTTCATTCCATATTCGTTGTTCATCTTTTTCTTTACAAAGAAACTTTTTAATTTATAATCTTTTGTGAAGTTTTAAAGGGTTTAGTCATTTTAATAAAAGAACAACTTATCAACATTTTTTTTACCAAATATATCAACTGCTTAATATCACTTTCAGTACTTTTATCCAAAAACGTAAATATTTATTTAAAAAGTCAGTTTTAACACTTAAAAATATTTTTCAGCATTTTAAGTTTATCAACTGTTTACAAACAGCTAATCCAAACGGGATGGCATTAATAATAAACTAATAATTACTACCAAGAGCTTAATAGTTTACGAACCATTTTAACAATGTATTACTATATGTAAAATATGATACTTCTTTCTTGAATTTGAGGTTCCAAAGTGTCAGTGTCAGTGTCAGTGTTCAATTTGGTGCATACACCTTAAAATTCAATTTTATTATGCACCTAGGTCAAGTTTTTTTTTAAAAAAATCTTTATTTCTTCGTTTTTATGCTTCTCTAGCTCGTCTCTTCTTTCTCTTCTCATGTCCAAAAGGCCGAATCCTCTCCTCAAGAAACGAAAGAAATAATCTATGTACGTCTCATATGAGATCCTAAAATTGACTGAATCCAAATATCCAATCCAAAAATAAATAAATAATAACATCAGTAACGTGCAAAGCTAAAAATACAAAATTTGAGAATCTTGATGATAGAAAATCTATAAGATAATCTTCTTATTTTAGTCTATAAGATTATCTCATTTTTATTAATCTTGAAAATATTTGTGATTAAAGAATCTTGAAGATAGAAATTAGAAAATCTATAAGATAATCCTTTCTTTGAAGTATATAAGATAATCTCAGATTCAACCACCTAACGATGAGATTTTAGTAGTTAACAAAGTGAAATTAGGAGATTACTCCCATTTATAGCATGTTTGGCCAAGCTTTTTCAAGGCCAAAAGCATTTTTTTTTAAATATTTTTTTTTCAAAGTTAAAATGTTTGACCAAAGCTTTTAGAAGAAAAAAATGTTTTTGATTAGAAGCAGAAACAGTTTTGGAGAAGCAGAAAAAAATAATTTCTCTCCGGAAGCACTTTTTTGAAAAACACATTCGAGAAAAATACACTTAGAAATATTTTTTTAAACCTTGGCCAAATACTAATGGTCGCTCAAAAGTGCTTTTTAAATTAATTAGTCAAACACAAAATATTTCTCACTAAAAATACTTTTTAAAAAAGCACTTTTGATAAAAAATACTTTTTAAAATAAGTTAATTTTAAAATTTTTATCAAATATGCTATTAGTGGAAGCATACACAAGTTACCTACACCACAAGTCCACAATTATGAAAGAAGAAGCAGATTATGCCAACGAAATAATTAGAAAATCAGGTCATGGTATGCACCTGGATATCCGATATTCTAGTCTTATAGATAGAGCGTAGGAACCATTAGTAGTGCGCACATGTTTAAAGCCTGCGCTGCTGGTAGGTCCTGAAAGTCATGGGTCAATTTTGCAATTATAATATCCCGCTTTCTATACTAATATAATCGCCTCACAGTCCTTGATTATTCTTTCTTACCTACTTTAAGTAATGACTGATTGTGTGCATGAGCATTTTTTTTTTTTGGTGTGTGTATGTGTGCCTTTTTTATTTCAGCATGTGACTTTTGTATTCTCCTAGTGCATTTTTGGAAGTTTGCAATGGGTAACACTGGTTGTTCATTGTTAAAACATGTAAGGTAGTTCGAGTCTCTATAGAGTGCAATTAAGTGAAACATTTACCAACAATTCCCAGATTGATCAAAAGGGAGAATGAAATTAACTTTTTACTTGGCTTCGTGCTACCCACATAGTAAAGCATTAGGATTTCGCAGAGACGGATTTATGTGGAGGGGGCTGGGTACATGCACCCATGCTTCCCTCCCTACGCTATGTATAAAATATTACTCTTTCCGTTTCAATTTATGTGAACATGTTTGACTGGACACAGAGTTTAAGAAAAAATGAAGACTTTTGAAATTTGTGGTCCTAAACAAGTCAAAAAGGGGTCCATAGTATTTGTGTGGTTCTAAAAACTTCTCATTAAGGGTAAAATTATAAGTTTAAACTAAAATGTTTCCAAATTTAGAAAAGGATCATTCTTTTTGGAACGGACCAAAAAGGAAATAGGTTCACATAAATTGAAACAGAGGGAGTAATTTTTTTAATTATGTGATTAAATATATTTCTGACCACCCACGATGCTCACATGATTAGTTTGGTACATTGGTGACTAAGTGCCCCTCTTATCTCTTTTTTGTCTTCAAGGTCCGGGTTCGATCCGCCTACAATTCTTTTTGATTAATTTATTTTATAATTAATTACAATAAATAAATTCTCAATTTCTCACTCTTTTCAATTAACAACATATCCTTATGCCATTTCTTTCTCTTCAATTAACAAACAAATATATTTTTTTACTTTTTTTTTTTTAAAAAAAAAATCCCTTTTGCGTACGTCTTTTTTATTTTCTTCTCTTAATCATTCTTTTGAGTACAAAAACTTTGAAATCCCGAAAAACAAAGCACTCATGACTCGTCTCTCTTGGCTCTCAGTGAATTCAAAACAGGAAAACCTTTGCTCAATATTAAGCGCCGCTTATAAAAACTTTTTTGAATGATTGTTTAGTTTGTTATATAGAGCGTGAGATATGTAAATCTTTAAGTAATGATGTTATTATTGACCGTTTTTAATAAAAACTCGTCGAGGACAATCGTAAAGTAAATGATATTTTTTGCGAATATAATATTAATATAGCTTGCTCGTCAACTTGCCACCATCATAAAATTTTATATAATGGAACCAAACATGTATCTTAAAGATAATAGTGCATCCATGATATTAAAATCCGGGATACGCCTCTGCCTTTTCTGCAGCAAATAGTGAAAATAACAGACTTCTATGTTTTCTTTCAAAAGCATAATACTTCTTAGAGTGAACTTCTAACCTTATTATTAGGACTTCATTGGTCGACTTCAAAAGAACAAACTAATAGGACTTCATTGGTCGACTTCTACCATTTCTTTGGAAACCATAGTACGCATACTCAACTCTATCTGACTAAAAATATTACACTGCATTTTTCACAAGTTTCAAAATCCAAATTCTTTAACATTAAATTTTAAACTTTGCTAGGAAGTTTTATCTATCAAAAAAATTTCAACTATTTCTCCATATTTCATCTACTACCTCTATGATGATACATAAGTCAAATTAACATCAAATTCACCATCCATACAAACACCACCAAAATGAAATGGAATGGAGATAGTTATAAACGCTATTACCTTGGATCAGATAAATATGATACGTCTCAGAAATCAAATATTCACCTGTACATCTGGCTATTAAAGGTTAAGAAAAGAAGAGAAGAAATGATGCATCTGAGTATGCATCACAGATTATTCAAGGTAAACATACTGAAGGAAGAGTAATATCAGACTTGTTTCTGGATTAGCAAAGATGAAGAGTGTAAGTTCAACCCCAAAACACAGATTGCTCTAGGGAAAGAATGTCATGAAAAAATTGGCTGCACCCTGAGCAGCACCAAAACAGAGCTGGTTATCAGTAACTTGCAGAAGCATTATAGCAAACATCATGTGTTGCTGCTAAACAATGGAATAAATTAATTAGAAGTCTTAGAATAATTTAAGACTGAAATATCAAGAATTTGAACAGAATATGTGAAGTGTCTAATACCAGTCTATCAACTGTAACCATCTTGAGATTCTAATTGTTCATCTGAAATGGCTAAGTACTTCTTTTTCATCTCAATAGCTGTGATATCTGGAAGGCAGAAGCAAACAATTTCAGCTGTTACACGATGACCCAAGAGAACACAGATACATCCAGGAATAAGAATATTACATTAAGACCCGGTTTGGATCCTACACTGTTAAGGAAAAGAATGTGAAAAAAAAAAAGGAATATATAGCTTTAATAATGGCAAGTTAATTTTATTAATAAGAAGTATCAAGAAGATACACTGTAGCATTAAAATAAAGGAGTAGATATATTTTTGGAACACGATTTCCTGATTCTGTTTGGATCATTTGGGGAGAAGGAAAAAGGTAAGGAAATGCCCGCTGAACAAGCACACAGAGAAGAACTAATGTACTATCAATTTATATCATTGTTGAATTTCCATTCTTCTACCTGTTTATGTCATCTCCACTTTCACCTTGATCTTTGATACATTTTCTTCTTGCGTATCACTTGGGTGAGGTAAAGAGGAAGGAAGAAACCGGAAAATTGAAAGAGGACAAAAATGAAAAAAGCAAATGTATAACCTCTAAGCTTTAGGTGCTAATGGGTGAAGGGAAGGAAAATTGCGAGTCAACTTTCTACATTTTAGGTACCAATTGGGTGAGGTGTGCAAGTGGAAAAGAAAAGAGAAGAAAAGTAAAATTACAACTCTGTAAGCTTTAGGTACTAAGAAGCTAGAAAGTACAACTCTCTTTTTCTTTTTTTTTTAAAAAAAGAATAAGTCAGAAAGTAGAACTCTCTAAGTTTTGGACACTGATTTGGGTGAAGGGAAGAAGAAAAGTACAGGTACAACTATCTAAGGATTGAGCACTAACTGGGTAAAGTGGATGTGAAAAGCAGAAGAAGCAAACTTTACAACTCTCTAAATCCTAGAAAAAAGAAGAGAGTAAAAAGTGGAATCAACTTCGTTCAATTTCTTCACCTTCTTCCAAATATAACCATGTTGTCCTACCATTTTACCCCTTTCCTTTTCCTTCATATTTTTTTTCACTCCCAAACATGTGAACAGAATTTCCGTGAAAATGTATACTCATTTTCTTTGGTTAAATTCAGGTTTCAAACGAGGGCTAGAAGAAGGCGATTGAAATGACATTGAACAACATCTAATACATCATCTGATATAAGATGGCTGTGGTGACTGGTGAAGAAATGGATAATTTTTGTTTTATGTCAATCAACACAACCAACTCTTGTTTACTTTCCTTCATATTAGTGGAAGCTTTTTCTCTTTCAATTGCCACTTAGTTATCCAAAATTTCCTATACCAAATTCTGATGGTCCTCTACTTGACTATTCTGGAAAATAGTGGAAATTGGCAAAATAAATTATCGACTGGAAAATTGAAATATGTGTACGAGTTAAGACAGATAAAAGTGGAAAATGAGGTGGACTTGAGAGGCAAAATAACTAACTCAAAATTATAACATTTTGATCTCACCTCGTTCAGGATATATTGAGTTGTAGTGAACCTCGGCCCAAAAGCTCAAGAAGATAACTGCAGCAATGTGAGTTCATATAAAATAGTCATCCCAACTTTGTTAAAAATTGAAGAGAAACAACAACTAAACCCAATCTCACTTGAACTCCTTTTCATGATATTTGACCAAGTAATAATGAAAAGGTCCCTCAAAATAGTTTGGTATATCCCAGAGGGAAAAGGATGATCTCCTTTCGAATTGCACAAAGGAAATAAATGACTCCACCCACCGCCCAAAGGAGAAAATGCACTTCTTCATCAACAGGTGCTTGAAACTAATATTTCAAACCAAAACAAGAAGAAAAAAGCCTAGTGAAAACAGACTATTTTGTTATTGTAGGCAAATGTCCAAGGATGTCCAAGGATCTTGACTTATCCATAAACCACGGAAGCCGATAGAGCCATTACTCCTACATTTAATATGTTGATACATTTAGAGCTAAGGTCAAGATGAAGCCGATAGAGCCATTACTCTTACATTTAATATGTTGATACATTTAGAGCTAAGGTCAAGATAACTAATCAATGCTTTGTCCATTTATGCACTCAATGTAAATAGTTGCTCCACCCAATAGTATGAGTAGACAACAGAATATATATGGATTGAAAAAGCAGATGTATGATGAATAAATAATTAGCTTTTTTGGGCTGAGGAATCAACGGGTAATGGTAGACAATGCAACACTGACAATTTCATAGTACTAGTGGGACTTCATAGGATTACTTAGATGATAAGTAATAAGTTTAAAAGCTGCAGCTAAATCTAGTAACAATCATAAGGAACACAGCAAATTTTATGAACGAGAATACATCTTGTACCTCGTTCAGACTTTTGAATGGTGGGAAGTATCTCAATGTAGCAGGTATCTCTGAAAGATGTTATCACCAATATTTTTACACCATACTGCAGTGAATTGTTGAGAAAAGTCAGATTTTACAAATGTCTTGACTCTTCTAGAAAACTGCAATTGAATACCGAGTTTTAACAACGCTATATTGAATTCACCAAAGATAATGGTGTTAAAATATTATGTTTGAGCATCAGTAGTGGAACACTAATAGACTTCAAACTCTTTCTCGCAGCACTTTAGCTTGATGTTCACAAACATGTGAACAGAAATGATATTGTTCTGAACTTTCAGCTGATATTTGATGATCACTCCCATGCTGTTGGTTAAACAAGAATGAGTCAACGGTGTTAAAGAGGATTTGCAGTTCTTGGCTATTTTAATTTTTGGCTACAAGTTTTTTGACCAGCTCCACCCCCTAGTTCTTTTTCTTGGATATGATATGTCACAATATTTAAAGAGAAAGACGCTTAGAATGCCTCTCCTCCCCCCTTCCGATCCTCCCTCAACGGCAAAAAAAAAAAAAAGAAGAAGAGAAAAAGGAAAATGAAAAAGAAAGAAGAGCCCATGGTGTAGAAGAGAGCAAAGACCAGAAACTTACTGAATCTGAAGCTGCTTGTAGAGTTACATGATCACCCCACTCCCCATCCCTGATTTCATTTACATAAAAGTAGCGTCTTACAAGCAATCCATGAAAAGATATCAATTCAAAAATAAAGGTTGAAGAAATACTTTGACATCTTCTTCAGGTAATCATGATAGGCCATGGGAACATATCCATCGTACATCTCTGGGCATGACTTGAGCTGATAATGCAAAAGATATCGTTCTCACAGTATAAGAATGATAAGACGAGATTGTTTATGTTATGAAGTAAAGCTTTACTGACCTGATTCACAACTTGCTGTCTGACAAATTTGTGATGCTCAGGGGTGCGGTAAAATTGGTCGGACAAAGCACGAAACTAGAAGAATACATGTTATACCAGTCAGAATTTAAAATGGCTTGTCGTGTCATAATAGATGAAACAGTTAGGTGGGAATAAGACCCTGATTAAGAAGATATGCCTTCAAGCCCAACTGAACTTTTGTTAATATATGTTTACTTGAGATTCATATATGATGTAGTACTAAAAAAAAGCCAGACCCAGAAAGAAATGGTGAAACACTATAAAGGCTTGTAATCTAGTGGTCCCTTCCTCCTTCCACTTCATAGGGCACATACAGCTAATACAATTATTTTTGGTTTCGACTTCTAAAAGTTAAATTCCATAGTGCAACTGCATAGCATCCTAAAACTGTATGAGATGGCTTTCTTGGGCAGAGCTTCTGAAGCAAATGTTAAATGTAGTCTTCTTCCAGCATCTATTGCTTCCATAGTGTATCTTACAATATGTGCTTACATGCTTCCATAGTGTATCTTACAATATGTGCTTACATGATATTATCATTACATAGCTTGCAAAATTTGGGTGTAGCAGTTAGTAACTCCGACACAGAAGCTATTCCCATTTTCATAATGGTGGTTGGTTCCCCTACTGGACAATCTCAAGATACTGTCTTGTTTCCTAAAATTGAATATTTTGTTGTTCCATCTATCTTATCTACACAGCGTAACTCAAATATTTAAAACAAGAAAACTAACAGACACCCCTTTCAAACGTCACTAACTTGATTTACTACTTCCCTATGCCTAAAGAATTTAAAATAATAAGCTACCCTCCTTTACAGAATCGACAAAATAATAAATGTGCTCAACTCTCCTTTAAATAGTTGTTCCAGAAAAAAGTTGTGACTTTCAATTAGAAAAGAAGAGGGTATGAACGTAAGAGAGTTAACCTGACAATTACCATCACCTTGAACTTTAAATTCGACTAGTTCATAGACCTGTAATCTGTAGAAATACACAAACTTCAGTACCGTAAACAAAAGAATGACACAGAAGAGAATCAAATAAGAAATACACTCACAGAGTCTTCACATGTACTCTCTCAGTTTCATTTTATGTGAAGGTGTTTAACTGGCACGGAGTTCAAGATATTAATTTGACTTATAAAATATAATAGTGATGATGGAAGAGAATACTAAAATTGCGGTTGAAAAAGAGAGCAAACATCACAGCAAAGGAGTATTTGTTTTTTTCCTATTATTTTCTTTTCATGCATTCTTTAATTCGAAAACAGAACTTAACATTCAAAGAAGTATTTCTATCATTAAATATTAAGACATAATTTTTCGATTAATAGAAAAACATGTGAAATGATGGTGAAATCATGACAAATCCTTCAAAAACTAAAAAGATGCAAAACAACATGATATTTTTGTTTTTACCATAATATAATTTGTTGGTCAGTAACTGTGAAAGGTGTGTTTATCTTTGGACTGGACTTTAACATCTTTTATGAAAGAAATTATAAAGTACCTGTCAAGAAGTCTTTGATGATCTAAGGTTGCCTCATCAATTGATGGTATTTCACCATTGATTCTGGGAATATGCTGCAAAAGTAGGCATAGAAATTGCATGAGCATCAAGGCAAAGATTTCAAGAGACACAGCTAGGTTAGAAGACATAAATAAGAATATTACTCAAGCATTTACAAAGAATGAAGATTAACCAGAATAAGACATGTCTCCAACTGCTTCTGGCACATAAATGCACATTTTTCAGATGCTTGTGTTGATCCAGGAAAGTAGACAAATTCACAACCTTAGTGTCTAACTCACTACACATATGAACATGGAATACTTACGGGAATTGGAATCATCTGGTTCAATCTTTTCCCTACTTCACCATCAAGATCGTATTCATCCATCAATTCAAGTGAATACGACCAATCTTCTCCTGTGTATGACTCTTCTCCTGGACTAGAGCATGAAGTGGAAGGTCCATTACTTGTTTCTTCTTCATCACAATTGTCTTCTCCTGGAAATTATAGTATGAATAGTCAGAATAAATTAATCCAAGAGCTATAGCTATAAGGTTGGAAATATCAAGCATTTCCAATACCAATAATGTAGTGTCCCATAGGTTGACTAAACCAGTCTTGTGGATAAAAATGCGTTTGTGTATGTTCTACCATTGGATGGAGATTTGAGGGAGGTTCAGCGACTGAAAGTTGAGACAGTTCTTCCTGGAGGCGCTGTGCACTGAAGTTGTGATTTTCCTCATTGCTAGATCCCGCATTAAAATGATCATCCTTGAAGTAATGGTCCTGATAGTAATCTACACTGTTATGGGGTATGACACCACTATAGGCATAGTTAGAATAGGGATCACTGTCAAACAACTGGAGACCCCATCGGACAACATCCGGATCTTGCTCGCTCGTAATCATCTGAGAATTTTGATTTTATAAGATAAATGCCTGCAACAATGAATGCTGAAGATTAGTTCTGCCTAGTAGTTAGTAATGATAACAAGAGAAAAAGACAGCAACTATCTGTGCTCCGCAAGAAGCACAATATCCAACTTTCATACAAGAGAACTGCAAATAGCTAATACATCTGTGTTTTCTTTTTTAAATGATCTAAAATGGAATCGACTAATATTAAAAGGTTACACAGACAATTGCTTACAAATGCCTCAAGATTATAATAGCAAAAATGGATCAGTTTCATAGGTACAGCTCAAGAATCAACTTTCAAGCTTTCTGAAGGGACTGGCAACCATTTAAATTGATGTACCTACTTTTTCTGCTAAATTCATGTGGGCCCTCAACGACATTCTTTGGTAAAGTGATACAATTTAGAAGGGCAAGCGCTCTTTGAACATCATCCAAAACACCAGCACCTATAGACAACACTTTTGAAGAAAAGGGAAAATGGCATATGATACTAAAATAATGCAATGCAAGGAGTTTCAGTGTACCTTGACAAATCCTTCCACATTTATGCTTTTAACCTAACAAACTCATTCAGACCTAAAATAAATTGATTTAAAATGCCCCTTCTTTAACAATATAAGCTTTTAGATGAGACGGTCAAGCAATTCACATAAACTTCCCAAAACCTCTAAACTAGCTCATGAATTCCGAGGACATTAATATTAGTTGATTCCATTTCAGATCATTTAACACACACACACACACACAGAGAAATACATAGAGCAAGCTCCAGTTCACTGTACCATCATTTTTTTTTCTTTTCCTTTTACAGTGACGTGTAATTACTATTTACTTCTAGATAGCTTTTCAACAATTAAGTGATCAAATACATGTTAGATCATTTAAAACACAGATACGGAGAGAAATACATAGAGCAAGCTCCAGTTCACTGTACCATCATTTCTTTTCTTTCCCTTTGACACTGACATCTAATTACTAGTAGTATTTACTTGTAGATAGCTTTTCAATTATTAAGTGATCAAATGCAAAATACACAGATTTTTGGCTATGACGTGCCAGATATCACTAATGCCAATGGATCTTACTGACAATAAGCAAATTAAAGATTAAAGCAAAGAAAAAACAGCACATAACACCATCTCAATCAATCACAACAAATTATGATCACCTCAATCCATTTTCACAAGTTTATCACCAACAAATAACCTATATTTTTATTTTTAGATTTGGGCGGCAGTTCTAATAACGAATGCACGCAAAGCAGAACAAATATATATACACATACATAGAGCAAAGCCGCTATCTAAATCAATCACAGAGATTTTGATCAACGCGATCCATTTCAAACAGATTTAACACCTCATTACACACTTCAAATGCACAAAAAACAACACACATACACACACGCACAAAATCACTCAAAATCACGGCTACGGAATGAAGCGGAGAAGCAGTCGCTTCATCTCTTACAAGTACGGCATTAGCGAAAACAATGAGAAATCAGAAAATGCGCGTTAAACTTACAGTGAATTTCGCCGATCCGAAAGCGATAGCTCGTGCTTGTGAGGAAGAAAGTTGAAAGAATAGAATGCCGGTGAAACAAAAGAAAACCGTATTCGAGAAGCCACAAATAATATATGGATGGTAAAATGTTTGGTGATTGGGGGAAAGTGGAGAAGGACGGATGTCACGAGGGCTGTGTGTGTGTGTGTGTGAGAGAGAGAGAGAGAGAGGAAATGGACAATGGAAATGGAATCAAAACTCTGCAAATGCACCCCTTTCTGACTTCTCTCAGTCCTCAGTCCCCTTCTTTGGAGTTTTTTGCAGCACTATGCCGCTTCCTCGCCGTTTGTTTCATTCTCTCTTTTTTTTTTAACCATAGAAATTTAGAGTTTCATTCCGAATGTATAATTTTTTAAGTTATTTAATTTTAAAATTAATTTTTTAAGTTATTTAATTTTAAAATTAATAATTTATACATAATTTGATACAAAAGTTTGAACAATATTTCTGACAACTTTTATTGTTGAGATATATTCCTTTATATAACCACATTACGTTAGCAAGGACTAAATGGTAATTTGTTACTCTATACTCTATGTTATCTCATTTTATGTGGCATATTTTTAGTATGTTTTAAAAATAATGACAGATTTTACTTGGAATTTATGTAATCTTTATTTTATCCTTAATAAATGACGTATTATATTAATTGGATATGAAAAAAATTATTATAATAATAGAGAAAATGAAAAAATATTGAAACGCTCACATTATTCAAAAAGATAATACGAGACAGAGTAAATTATAAAAAATGCATATTAAAATTGGATATTATGATTTAATTTATATGACATACTTTCTTTTTTAGTCTATCAAAAAAGATTATCATACTTTTTTATTTAGAATTAATTTAACTTTAAATTTTGCATATATATGACAGCACATATTTATCTAAGATCACATCAGGAGTCTTTTTTTTCTGTAAAAATTGCACGGGGCGCCCCCATTTAACCTATACTTTTTTAAAAAAAACTTTTAATTTGTACCCACTTTTTAAATAACTTTAGCCCCTTTCTTCTCCTCCTTCTCCTCCTTCTTTTTCTTCTTCTTCTTCTTCTTCTTTCTTCTGCTGCTGTTGGTGCTGCTATGTAACTTCAGTTCATGGGATGATTGCCATAAATATGTTTATCAGATTATTTAAAAATAAATTATAAATAATTACGAATAAACTAAATAACTAGCTGTAACTATATTAGATGAGTAGATTCTTGGTGTTTTTTTTTTCTTTGGGATCTTGGTCATCTGTATTTTGACCCTTGAATTATCATTTCTTTTTTTCTTCTTTCAAAGTTATGTAATAGTAAATTTAGACTACGTTACTTGTTGATGTAACCAATTAGTTCAGAGGCATGTTATTACAGTTGCAAGATTTTTGTTGAAATTGGTGACTTTACTGATCAGTTAATGATGATGAGTTATTAGATTTGTGCATACTCTCGTTTTCTTTTCTTGTTGCATAATTACAAACAATATACAAATGACCAAGATCCCAAACAAACATAAATAGTGTTGAAATTTTTACAAATGAACTAAATAAATTCAGCTCTAGAACTGAAGTTCGCCAGTTACAAAACAAAAAGAGCTGAAGTTTTTGTAACTGGCGAACTTCAACTCTAGAGCTTAAGTTCGCAAGTTACAAAACAAAAACTTCAGCTCTAGAGCTAAAGTTCGTCAGTTACAAAACAGAAATTTTAGCACACTTGTTTCAACACCCTTGCTACTTCAGGCTCGTCTACTAAAATGCTGAAATTTTGCGTGATTGTCTTTGCTACTTCAGCTCTGTATGCTGAAGTTATTAGAAAAAATGGGTACGCTTGCAATCTTTTTGCAAAGCGAATACAAATTAAAACGTGACACAAAAAACAGGTATAGATGCAAATACTCATTTTTTCTTTCTTAAATTCTACGTTTAATCAAATGGCGCAACTTAATTTCCTTGTTTCTCTCTCTTCTTCTTTTTTTTTTAACCTCTCTTTTTTTTTTCACTTTCGTGTTTGCGGGTACGGATACCGTGTACCATCATGATATTGTCGGAGCTTGAAATGCTAGATGCCTTCGCTGCATGATAGCTGCCGTTAATTTTCCTCCTTTTTTTCCCTCTTTTCAAGGAACATAATACTAGTACCATTTTGAATTAATAGTATGTTTGGCCAAGTTTCTCAAGATAAAAAAAGTATTTTTTTTCCAAAATCACTTTTTTTTCCTAATTTGAGATGTTTGACCAAGCTTATTTGGGAAAAAAATGCTTTTGGGAAGAAGCAGAAGTAGTTTCAGAGAAGCAGAAAAAGGTACTAGCTTCTTTCCAAAAGCAGAGGCAGAAGCAGTTTTGGCTTTTCTTCTTACCTAAAATACCCTTAACAAAATATAGTATATACCAAAATAACCCTTAAACCTAATACTTAGGATATTAATTTATAAATATTTCTTCTTATTTTTAGGAAACTTTCTAATATATAGTGTCTTTAGGGGTGAATGCTTTTATATTTGTTGAAAGAATTTTAATATATTTAACTTATATTAAAAGAATTAAGTACTTTTTAATTTTATTTTCATATTTTACTTAAATAAAATGATTTTTTTTAAATTATTGCATGTAATAACAAAATTTTGATATTATTTATTTACTTATAATATTAATTATTAAGTAAATCTATTCATGTCCTTATTCGTAATTTAACACTTAAAAGCACTTTCTAAAAAGCTTGGCCAAACACAATTATTTCTCAAAAGTGTTTTTCAGACTGATTAGTCAAACACAAACTGATTCTCTCAAAAAGTACTTTTTTCAAAAGCACTTCTCAAAATAAGCTGATTTCTCCAGCTTGGCCAAACAGGCTATAAGACTAGCTTGATTTGTTGTGTAAACAAATAATTTCAGCATAAAATGCTACTATATTTCTAATAAGGCGAAATATAAAAACAACCCCTATAAGTTGTCCACAGCGATCATTTGAACACCTTAACTTGTTATGTGACCAGATAGACACCTCTACTTGGTAAAAGTATATTCTCTTAAACCTCTTACGCTGACATGGCAAAATTTGTGTGTTACACTTACATCTAAGCGCGTGAAGATCTTTAAAATTAGGCTTTATCTTGGGGGGGGGGGGGGGGGAAAAAAA